GAAAGGTTAAAATGGAATCATTTGGGGGTCTGGATCAGATTAATTCAATTTACATGGTTTCTAATGGGAAAATATGCTTTGGTTTTTGAACAGCCTTCCAGAATTAAGTTTGAGAATGAAGGTTCCACTGTATTATATTTTGTATTCCTCATAATTTTACTTGGTTCTTTTTAATGATTTCCTATCCTTCATAACTCCTGTATCTTCCCTTGTTTCCTTTAGAATTACTTACTTTAAATTCTTGGTCTATCTTTTCAAGTAATTCTGCTGTAGTAGTATATGTTATTATGTTTGCTATCTCTCTTTTACGACTGTTGTATCCTCCAGATATCTACTTACTTTGGCTCCAGAGCTCAAACCACATGATGTCCTAAAGTTACTGATCACTGTGTCTGTTAAGGAGAAAGGGTCCCTCTTTCCATCCTGTCATTCATGAAAACCCAGGGTGGAGAGCTTCAGGTTCCCCAGGGCCTTTGTTGCTCTCTATTGTTGTTACCATTCTACCAAATGCCTCCTCGGTCTCTTAAAAAGAATCAGCATTGAGAAGAGGCCAGTCTACCCTTCTTCTGCATTTAGATGGGAGATGTGTGAAAGTGACTGCCTAGGGGTGGTTGGTCAACTTAACACCTTTTTTTTTTTTACAGCCATACTTCCCCTACTTTTCATTTAATATTATAAAATAAATAAATAAAAACATAAAGGACAAGATAAAATACAGTGGGGCCTTGACTTACGAGTTTAATTCGTTCAGAGACCGAGCTCGTTAAGGACCTCGTTAACTCAAATTACTCTATCAACTCAATGCAAAAAATTGGCGAGAGACAGCTGGTATCTCAAAAAACTCATTAGTCGGGACACTCATGAGTCAAGGCCCCACTGTACACCCATATATCCTTACTATTATTTTACAAGACTTCCTATTTCTTTACTGAAACCATTTAGTCATGACCTACAGACATAGTTCAGTCAGCAATCTTTAATCCCATTCTTTACTGCAGTCACAGCAGAGGTTGAAGCAAATTAGCTCAATATGTATTAAAAATTGAGTCATTTTATGCCAGTATATTTCCAATTCTACTTTTTCCACTTCTATGACTCAGTGCCTAGAATGGAAGCAGTTAATGAAACTGCTATGAATTTTAGCAGGAAATATTTCTTTCTGATAATTTTGATAAATCAAATTGATCTTGAGTTTAAGCATTTATTCCAAGAGAGGAATGGGAAATTTAATCTGCCCCATTAACATTCATCTTTTTTAGCCACGAGGGCAGAATTTGATTTCTTGGGGCCAAAGTGTGTGAGGGTCCCCTCCAGTTGTGAGTTTAATAGTTACTGATAATATTCCCCTTATTCCAGCTGATGTTCCCTTCAGATCTGTTGCTGTTGCACATTTGGTTTATCAAACTGTTTGACAAACTTCAGAATGCTAAGACCCTCCTAGTACCACAAAGACACTTTGAGATCCTGCCAGATAATCAGAGAACAGCTGACAACCAGGGAACAGTCCTATAAGGTTCTGGAGTATTTACTGGAAATTTCCTTTTGGCCTGAAAAAATATCAAACTATCTTATAGACTTGACCTCCTTCCTCTTCCTCCCTTCTTCCACCTCTTCTTCATTTTTATCCTCCACCCAGCCTCCCTCTCCTTCCATCTCCCAAACTTATTATACCTTTTAAAATAAAATCTACCCTTTAACCCAGCAAGACTTCTGAAATGCGCTGATTTAATCCTGGGGATGCCCACAATCTGCAGATTTCTACAGTAAAGGAGCACAGAAGGATCTACCAAAGACAGTCAGGATTGGCTACAGCAGAAGTTATTAAAGGTGTTTTTTTCCTCTTGTGCTTTAGATTCAGTCCCTCATAGCACCCCACAGACATGTTAGGGAGAACCTTCAGTCCCCAGGAGTTAGTTTTTTAGGGTTGTTTGTTTTGTTTTTGCTTTTTAGAAGCCTTAGCTCCTCTCACTTAATTTTTTCTAGGGTTTTTGCAGAAGAGGCCAATAGGTCAACAGGTTATGCTAGTTTATCACTTGAACAAAACAAAAATCAAATTATGTTGCTTTTTATCCCTTTATCCGGTACTACTCATAAGGGTCATTTCTAACCTGAAAATACATATTTTGCATTTTTCTTTTACTTCTTCATTGCTTGTTCTATCGCAGTAAAATGTAGCATTTATTAAGGTAGATATCTTTATCTCCTTTTCTATCTCCGTTTCCTAGAGTGGTTCCTGGTACACAGTAGGTATTCAGTATATACAGGTATTTACTGAGGAAATAGTCAAGTGAATAAGTGTATTGTATAGTTTTAATATGTTTTTTATCGATTTTAGAGAGAGAGGAAGAAACATCAATGATGATAGAAACATCAACATTGATCCGCTGCCTCCTGCACACCCCTTGCTGGGGTTTGGGCCCACAGCCCGAGCCTGTGCCCTGACCAGAATTGAACCAGTGCCTTGGTGCCTGGGTCGATGCTCAATCATTGAGTCACACTGGCTGGCCTAAATATATTGTATTTTAAAATCTAATGGATAAGATGCTAAAACCTGCGTGGACCTCTCTCTGTCCTTTTAAACCCTGTGATACTTCTCACTCCACATTACATAATTTTACATGTGAGACTACAGAGTTGTGTCATCACCTTTGTGTCCTCCATTCTATCTAATGTTTGTTTTCCTATGCAAAGATTTTCGTTTCTAAGTTATTTGCAGCCCACACCCTTTTTATAAGCATGATCCATCCCAAGGCCTTTGCACTTGCTTTTCCATTAAGTTTCTGCTTAGTCACCAGTAGCACTACTCATCTTCCCCACTCCTTTTTATTTCCCTTCACCTTCTATTTTTCTCTATAACACTTTGGTCACCGGTCAGCATTTGACAAAATATATCTTTACTTGTTTATTTGATTGTTATCATGCTCCCTCACAAAATGACTAGATACTTAAAATAACTAGTTGAATACATGACAGCTGAAAGTGTATATCTCTTCATATTTGATACTTACAATTCTTTCTTTTAATGTGTTGTTAACTTACTTAGTAGAGGTACTTGTTTTGGACAGAATCATACATGGTAATTTTGGCTACAGATACCTGACTAAAATTCAAAATGTATCTGTTCATACAGCAATTTAAAGAACTGAAGTAACTGGTTTTAGTAAAGCTTTTGCCTGTTTTAGAGCGATTAGTTGCTGAGAGTGAATCCAACATTGTGGAAGACAACTGTTTGCTTTCTCTTCCTTGGAGTGGAAATACAAATTAGTAAAAAGTTCTGAATTTAATATTAAAAGAGGCAAGTTAAAGTCATTGGCTCCTTGTTGTGCATTACCTTTTAAAAACTCCAAAATTCTTCCTCAGCTTAAAAATGGGTACGATTACATCTGCCCTCTTATGCCATAGGGTGATTTTTGAGACCCAATGAAATAATATATGCTAAACTGGTCTTATAAACTGCTTAATATGTTTTTAAAATATCTGTTTTCAAGGCCATAATTTTCCAGTAATTTTTTATATGTATATGCATCCGGTCATACTATTCTTTATTCCATTCTTTCCTTACTCCTTTATTCATACATACCTGTTTCCCAATTTTCCCATGTCTTATATATTCTTCACAGTCCAAATTTAGGTTCAGCTTGTTTTGTAAATAATTATCTACTGATTTTTTCCTTTATGAATTTCTTGTTGAATTTAGCATGATATTTCAGTCCTTGGTATAATTTGTTTACCAGTATTTTTTTAAATATTTTTATTGATTTCAGAAAGGAAGGGAGAGGAAAAGAGAGATAGAAACATCAATGATGAGAGAATCATTGATTGGCTGTCTCTTGCACATCCCCTACTGGGGGCCGAGCCCGCAACCCAGGCATGTGCCCTTGACCGGAATTGAAGCCGGGACCCAACGCTCTATCCACTGAACCAAACCAGCTAGGAATGTTTACCAATATTGATGGTTTTGGCCTGTATTGTAAAGTATTCAGACAATTTTTTCAAGGAACAAATACTATTATACTTAGTATCCCCAACAGTGTTTTGTTTTTTGTTTTTTTAAGTTGTTTTTACTTTCAGTAATTAATCTATAGAATATACATTAAAATTAAAAACAATTTCAAAAATAGATGAATTTCTATATTAAGCCTAAGTCTAAAGAAAATAAATTAGATACATGAGTTGTGTTCTTATTTCCTCCTGGTTATAAGTCATTTATTTGAGTTTTTGCTTTGATTAGTATTTTTAATGAGTAAAAAATGAGGTCACATATCATACTACCACTTTTTTTTAACTGGATAAAATGAAAGTCTTATTTCCAGTAAGAAAACTGAAGCTCAGAACAGTTGCCCAGTGTCACAAAGCAAGTTATTAGTAGATCCAGAATTACTCTCATAAGTCATTGTTCTTTAATTAAATTATTACTGAGTAGTAAACATTTACTTAAACTTGATGTCGATTTTTCATTTAAATAGAACTTGTGAATATTTTATTGTGAATTTTTAAAAGAACAGTATTGATTTATATCCTTACTATTAACCTGTTCCAGTTTTTCTAGTCTTTTTAGTAAGAATGGTATTCTCCCTTTCCTAGTAGTTTTTAGTAAATGAAGTATGTTTATATCTGTGTGTTAACTTTAGGTATTTGTCTTTATTTCAAATTGATCATTAATCATGACATTCAAGCTTGTAAGTTTCTCTTCTCCAAATTGGACACCCTACATTTGTTTTAAAAGTTAGTATTTGGTTAGATAATCTTTATCTCCACAAAAACATTTTAGTTTAAATTATATAACTTGATGTTTTATTTTTAATGTTCAAAGCATAAATTACTTATACTGGTACATTTTAAAATGTAAAGTGTAAGTCATTGGGAAATAGCACAAATGTGAATATAGAATCACAAGTAAAGTTTTTGAATAATGTCTAACAGTTGTAACTTTAAATATCCTTTTGTGATATTATAAAATTTTTTGTGTCGATTTATATTTTTCTGTTCTTAAATTGCAGTATGGACTCCAATTGCATTGACAGTGTTTTTAGTGGCTGTTGCAACATTGTGTAAAGAACAAGGAATAACAGTTGTGGGAATTTGCTGTGTGTATGAAGTATTTATTGCTCAGGGGGTAAGGAGAAGTATAAATTTTCTTGATGCTCTCTTTTTATCCCATTTGGATCTGATTATAATAAACTTACTTTCCAAATGTATCATTATGCAAATAAATCTGTTGACCATTAATAATAATACCAAATTTTTTCAAGAAACAATCATGTTTTCCCTCACACCACTGAAAATTATTAACATTTTAACACCTTCAGCTTTTTAAAGGCTGCTTTTAAAGTTTAAATAATGGAATTGTAAGCAATTTGGAATACTTTACAATAATACTTTACAGTTCCACAAATTGTTCCGTATCGATTTTATAATTACAGTCAGTTTCTATTTAATCTTGCATTTAGAAAGTACTACATTGTTGAAAACATTGTACATGGTTATTTATTTAAAACATTTTCTTTCTTTTCCAGTATACTTTACCATTATTATGTACTACTGCTGGACAGTTTCTCCGTGGCAAGAGTAGTATTCCATTTTCTATGCTGCAGACATTAGTAAAACTCATTGTTTTGATGTTCAGTACATTATTACTGGTTGTGATTAGAGTCCAGATTATTCAGTCTCAACTTCCAGTGTTCACCAGGTACAAATTTCTGTGTCGTCGTCGTTGTTTTTCTATCCTTTTAAAATTAACTTTGGATTTTAAGTGATTGCAAATATTCCAGAAAGTCTTCAGGGTGTTGTTTTTTCTCATTGCACCTTTTTTGTTTTATAAATCTTTTGTTTTTTAATTTTATAAACCTTTATTGTTGAACGTATTACACATGTCCCCTTTTTTCCCCATTGGTCCCCTCCAGCCTGCCCTCGCCCTCCACCCCAGGCCTTCACCACCCAAGTCTTCAGTTTACATTGAGGTTTTTAACAGCTTTCTTAAGTTATAATTAATTTTTTAAACCTGCATATATTTAAAATGTAGAAATTAATAAATTTTGAGATACATATACACTAATGAAACCAGCACAGTCAAGATATAATGACCCTCAAATTGGTTAAGTATGAAGTCTTCTGTATTCTTAATGATTTTTGTCTACTTGTTCTATTAATTATTGAGAGAAGGATGTTAAAAATCTCAGACTATAATTGTAGGTTTGTCTGTTTTCCCTTTCAGTTTAGTGTGTGTGTTTAAAAGCTCTATTAATGTGCATAAATATTTTGGATTGTAATTTTCTTTTAGTGAATTGATCCCTTTATAATTATTAAATGAGCTTCTTTTAGTGTCACATAGTTTAACTTTTTCCATTCTGTTACTTTTTAATCCATCTATATTTTTATATTTAAAGTGGATTTCTTGTAGTCTGCATAGAGTTGGGTCTTTCTTTTTTGTTTGGTCAGATTATCTGTCTTTTAAATGAAGTTTTTCAGTTACTTACCTTTAATATGATTATTGATATAATTTGATGTAAATCTACCATCTTGTTCAAGTAGAACTTCTACTTGAGCCTTTTTTGTGTGTTCCATATCTCTACATGTTTAATGTTCCTGTCCACTAATTTTATCATGTGTCATTTCTTATTCAATTTAGATTAAATGAATTTTCTCCTCCTAGATTATATTTTTCAACTTCTTCACGTGCCTGGTAATTTTTTAATAGATACCATATGTGAAATTTACCTTAATGTTTTTCTATAAATAGCATATAACTTGTTCTGAGATGTTCTGAAAAACATTACCTTAATGTTTTTCTATAAATAGCATATACCTTGTTTTATATATATATAAAGTTTCATCTTCTAGCCTTGCTTTTTTGTAAAATTGATTTTAGAGAGGAAGGTAGAAGGAGATAGAAACATCAATGATGAGAGAGAATCATTGATTGGCTGCCTCCTGCACACCCCACACAGGGGATTAAGCCCACAACCTAAACTGGGGATCAAGCCCACAACCTGGATCAAGCCAAGTCCCAGTCTGTAGGCTGATGCTCTATCCACTGAGACAAACCGCCTAGGGCTGCTCTTTATTTATTTATTTTTTTAAAGGAATAGACTCAGACGTTTTTTAAAATATAGTTTTGATTTCAGAGAAGAAGGGAAAGGGAGAGAGAGATAGAAACATCCAGGATGAGAGAGAAAAATTGATCAGCTGCCTCCTGCATGCCCCACACTGGGGATCAAGCCCGCAACCCGGGCATGTGTTCTTGACCAGAATCAAACCCAGGCCCCTTCAGTCCATAGGCCAATGCTCTGTCCAATGAGCCAGACCGCCAGGGCTAACCTTGCTTTTTTAAGTTTTGTTTCGTGAGATAACAGTAGCGTTTCCTTAGGGCTAATATTGCTCCACTTCTGACACATGACCCTCTGACTACCATATGGACTGTGAATTATAAGGATTTCCACTCTGGCTGCTGCTGAGAAACTGTTCCCAACTCTGTATGATATTTGGGGATTTTTCTGTCATCCTTTCAGGAGGTACTGTCCTATTTGTATTAGTTTTCCTAGAGCTGCTATAACAAATTACCAGAAATTGGGTGGTTTAAAGCATCAGAAATTATTCTCGCCATGCTGGAGGCCAGAAGTCCCAAATCAGGGTGTCGGGCCAGAGTGATTTCCTTCTGAGATCTCTGAGGAAGAATCTGTTCCATGCCTCTTTGCAAGCTTCTGGTGGTTGTTGACAGTCTTTGACATTCCTTGGCATGTTGCTGCATCACTTCAGTCTTCTTTACCTATGTGTTTCTCTGTATTCTCTGCTTCTTGGATAGCAATAGCAGTCACTGGATTCATCGTCCAGCCTAATCTAACTAAAAACCCTATTTCCAAATTAAGTCACATTCTGGGGTGCTGGGTAGTCATGAATTTGTGAGAGACACGATTCAACCCACGACACTAACCTTGAGTATTTCTTCAAGTTCTCATCAGTACTGAAAACTGGAGAGAGACTCTATAGATGTCCCGAGTCGTCTTTCTCAGCACATTTATTCTTGATGATATTCTGCGCACTAACTCTAAATCCCTGGACTCTGCCTGGGTTCTCCCTCACAGCTCCACAGACTGAAAAAACTCTATCCAGGTACTAACCTCTCCCGGTAGGGCTGTTTTTTTTCTCCCAGATATTACTGTCCTTCTTTACTTGATATTCAGTGTGTTTAAAAAAAAAAAAAGCTTTATAGCCCTAGCAAGTTTGGCTCAGTGGATAGAGCATTGGCCTATGGAACAAAGGATCCCGCTTGGATTCTGGTCAAGGGCACGTACTTGGTTGCAGGCTCTCCCCAGCCAATGCATGCCCTTGGTCAGGGCTTGTGCAGGAGGCAACCAATCAATGTGTTTCTCTCACATCCATGTTTCTCTCTGTCTTTCCCTCTCTCTTCCACGCTCCCTAAAAGTCAATGGAAAAATATCCTCAGGTGAGGATTTAAAAAAAACAAAAAAGCTTTACATGTTTTGTCCAGTTTTTCAGTTGTTGAAGGCTACAAGCAAAATTTGCACTGAATTTTAATAATCTACATGTCATTTTTTACTGTTGTAACATTTAACATTTTTTTCCATTTCACCTTACTTGGCTAAAATTTAAATGAATTTTATTTACATGGCTGACATTATAAGCAAGAACTTTTTATTTATTTATTTATTTTAACAAAAGGCCAAAATAGTGTTCTTGTTGCTATCCATGATAAAGTGCATTTCTTTTCAGAATAAATTTTACCCAGATAATTCTCTTATGCCCAACACTATCTTTTTCATTAAAGGATAATTATTTTTTAACTTCTTAAATATTTACCTTCAGGTCTAGCCATGCAAAAGTGAACAACTCATTTAAGTATTAAAGTATGGGAAATAGATTGAATTGTAGATAGATAGTTTATGTTTTCTTCTTCACCCCTTAGTTTCAATGCTTTTATTCTGTTTATCATTTCTTTTAGAAAATTGGATATCTTGTTTCTAACTCTACAGTATGAAAATGTCTGAATGTATTTGTTTTGTGTGTGTATATATGTGTGGCTGAGTGTATGGGGTATGTTAGATATAAGTATATATTTGTGTGTGTATATGTAAATGTTATTCTGCTATCTTACCCTGTGAAGTTGATTATAATATGATTTAATTTGCTTTGACATGCTCTCTTTCTCCACAGTTCAATTATTAAATCAGCTATCCTAAATAAGTTATTCGTTGTAATAAATGAACTCTGTTAGTGGATTACAGGAAAAAAAACAGTTTTGTATTCAGTTCTGTTGGTTATTTAAGAATTCAAGCCCTAATTCTCAAGAGTTATTACTTTTCATATATATAGATATTAAAATATTTTTTAAAAAATTTAAATGATAAATTTAAATTTAAAAAAAATATTTGTTTAAATATTATCTACTTTTCTCAATCATTTGATATTTTTAAGAAGACCAAGTCAAACAAATGGTAGAGGTTGATTTTTCATTAACTTACTCATTTTAAAATGAGAAATTATTTTTTAACAGGACTATATATATTAATATAGTCAATAAAATTTAGAACATAGCATAAATAAAAGGAAGTCATTCTTTTGAAATGTACTTTTAAAAAATGATTTGACTTGGTTTTCAAGAAGTAGACTATCTTAATAAAATGTACATTAAATATATCATGGCCTGGGGAAATATAAACTAGGACATAAGCTTATATTAATATACTAGAGGCCTAATGCACGATATTCGTGCAAGAGTAGGCCTTCCCCCAGCTGCCAGCACCCAGCTTCCCTCTGGCTCCCGGAACCCGGGCTTTCCTGGCAGCCCCGACTTCATCCGGGACGTCATCCAGAAGGACGTCTGGTATAATTAGTATATTACGCTTTTAATATTATAGACTAGAGGCCCGTTGCAGGAAGATTCCTGCAAGAATAGGGCTTCCTGCAGCTGGAGCAAAGCAGAGAAGGGAGCAAAACGCGCTGAGGTAGGTTTTTCTCCCACTCCCAGCCACAGCGGCT